GAGTTCTGTTGGCCAACGGAAGGTGCACATTTTCGACTGACCTCTTTGGCAAGTAAACATGATCATTTTGTTTGTTTATAAACTGCTGGACAACGAATGTTTCCTCATCGGAGAAAACCAAATTCGGCAGTTCACCACTTTTGGCCAAGCGAAGCAACTCTTTATCTCTTTTGAGTCTATTTGACCTCTATCTGACCTCATATAATTTAGACCCCTTCTTCTAAGGCCTCAATTAACAGTGGCCCTTTTATAACAAGCATTGCAGATTCTCCCTCTTCCCCTTATTTCTTTCATTTCCATCAATCTTTCGGCCATTAATTTATCTGGTATCTATTACACCCAATGACAATGTGCCCTTCTATAGTTTTACTACCTCATTGTGTAGTTGTGTAAATGAATGGGTGGGTGTGTGTGTTCGTCCTATTGTTTAGTACTTTGTTAAATTGCCATAGTTGTACGCCCGGAAATAAAGACAATAGAACATTTTGTCCTCAATGGCATTCATCTTTAAACGCTGATAAACATCTGTCACATATAAATGACTTTCCCTTTGATTGCTGATTGTTTTCTTCGATGGGTGTGATGGCGTGATGTGCTGCTTGCTGCTAAATTCCATTGATGTGGTAGTCCTTATTTAAGAAACTCCCCTAAATGATGCCCTATTTAAGTGGGGTACAGAAAGAAATTGAAATCAATTTTGTTAACTGTCAGTGACTTCTTTTAGACGGTGTGATATGATCTTTGAGGGGAAAAAAGTTAATACTAAGTTGGATCAATCTTAAACTTGGCCATTCATCAAATTTTATAACTTCAAAGACTAACGGAAAAATTCGCAATTGAGGCACAAAAATCTCTAAATATGTCAAAAAGTGTTCTGCTGCTTTTCGAAGAACAAAACATAGATATATATTACCAATTTTATACAAAATGTACTATACTCTCATCCGTTCTATGGAGGGTATATTAGTTTTGTCCTGCCATTTGTAAGGCCTTGAAATACTCATGATAGACAATACAAAGTTTTCTGGATCAGCGTAGAATTCTAAGTTGATCTATCAACGTCTTTCCGAATGTTTGCTGTAATCACGCTATATTTTTAACGAATTAAGACAGAGGGCTAAAATTTTACACATGAGTGTATTTTGCCAATAGGCAGGTTAAGTTCGAAAATGGACCATGTCGTCCACGTTTTCGTATAGCCCCCGTTTTTCTGTATTTTGATATTTTTAACGACATTATTTACAAGTGGTTTTTTTTTTTTTTTTTGAGCGGTATTTTTGATGGATTTTTATACCCTCCAACATAGTATGAAGAATATATTTAGTTTGTCATTCCGTTTGTAACACCTCGAAATAAACATTTTAGACCTCACAAAGTATATTCTTGATCAGCATAAAATTCTATGTCGATATAGCGATGTTCGTCCGTCTATCCGTCTGCCCGTCTGTGGAAATCATTCTAGCTTCCGAACGAATTAAAGTAGATTGATAAAATTTTGCTCAAATGTATGTTATATCTGCAGGACTTTTGGTATTGAAAATGGGCCATGTAGGTCCACGTTTTGGTATAGCCCCAATATATTCGGTATTTTAAGGATTTTAGGGACATTTTTCACCAGAATTGTTAAAATTTGAAGTTCGTAATGGATACTACAGCCTACGACAGAAAATTGTCTGTGCAGGTCCACGTCTTCGTATAGCCCCCATATAACGGTAGCTCCCGATATACGATATTTTCATGATTTCAGCAACATTATTCACCGAAATCGATTTAAATTTCGTATTGGAAGATCTTAATGGGTACTACAACCTATGGAAAAAAAATCGTATGTAGGTCCACGTTTTCATATAGCCCCCATATGACCGTGTCTCCCGATACTCGGTATTTTCATGCTTTTTACGACATTATTCACCGGAATTGTAATAAATTTAGTATTTAAAGACCGTAAAGGGTACTAAAGCCTATGACAAATAAACCGTATGCAGGTTCTCGTTTTCGTGTATCCCCCATATAAAGGTACCACCCGATATTCGATTTTGTAGTGATTTTAGCTACATTATTCACTGGAACTGTTTAATATTTCGTATTTGAAGTTCGTAATGGGTACTACAGCCTATAACAAAAATTTTTGTATGCAGTTCCACATCTTCGTATAGCCCCCATAAACGGTTTTCATTTAATTGTTAGTTTTCCGATTTTTTTTTTAATTTTTCAAGTTCCTTCCAAATGGTGAAGTGTATTAAGAGTTCGGCACAACTGAACTTAACTGTTTTTTTAATTGTTCTTTATTGATTTGACCTCAATATAGAAAGTTCATTTACTGCGAATTAATATACAGGGTGAGATGAAAAAACTTCAACCAACTTCAGACTGCTGTCATTTCTAAGCCACTCGTCCGACAGCTGTTAAAATTATTCCAGTGACAGCTCATTATATATATTATTATATCTTCAAAAAAAAAAGTTATTCATGATGGAAGTGGACGGAAGAAAACAGCAACATCAGCAGAAATGGTTTGAGAAGTAAAGAAGCAACATCAGCAGAAATGGTTCGAAAAATAAAGAAGCAACATCAGCAGAAATGGTTCGAAAAGTAAAGAAGCGACTTGATCGAAACCCGCGTCGCAGTGGCAGAAAAGTGGCCATTCGGCAAATATTGAAAAATGAGCTCGGAACAAAGCCATTGAAATTCCAAAAAGTGCAAGAACGTACACCGCAACAGAAAGAAAATAGACTCAAAAGAGCTAAAGAGTTGCTTCGCTTACCCGAAAATGGTGAACTGCCGAATTTGGTTTTCTCCGAAGAGAAAACACTCGTTGTCCAGCAGTTTGTGAACAAACAAAATAAACGCGTTTACTTACCAAAGAGGTCAGCTGAAAATGTGCACTTGTTATGGGCCGCCATAACAGCCAATGGTCACTCTCCGTGGCAACAGTAATAAAATATTCTGGAGGGTGTGCTAAAGCCTTGGGCATTCAAATATTTTGGCCGCAGACCTTAAACATTCAAACAGGACTCAGCACCATCGCACTTAGCACGCACCACCCAAGAATGGTTACCAAATTAGGTTCCTCACTTCATTTCTAGCGCACTGGATACCAATCCGTTGGACTATTGTGTCTGGAGTATTTTGGAAAGCAAGGTTGACACTAAAATATACCAAAGTGTCAATCACCTCAAGCAAGCGCTTCGCCGGGAATGGACCAAAATACCGCTGAGCAACATTCGGGCAGCGTGTGGCGGTGCCAAAGGTGACCAATTCGAACAAATCTAAACTTATTCTAAAATTTGATGCTATTTCCGACATTTTTGCTTGCATTCAATAAAATTAAACAGAAAAATGTAAAAACTATGGCATTTGACTTTGTTGCAGTTTTTTTTATCTCTCCCTGTATGCAATATCAATCCTAATTGATCGATTTTTCCATAGTCAACCGAATTTTTCTATTTGGTGAAACTCGGTCTGGTATATCTATTGTTCCAATAGATATTTTTTAATGCAATCATGCAGTATGCAGTCGGTCCCGTTTGACTTTGACCTTTGTTTACTAGTTGTTAATAAAGAAACTTGTTTATTTCTGAAAAAGTGAGCACTCTTTTCCACTTACCAATTTTCTTATAATTTCACTATACAATAGCCTGTATGAGTTGTGTAAAATGCCAGGTGGCTCTTGGTCACTCTTGGCTACTTTTCGATGAAAACTTTCGAAATGCTGATACACGTGTCTTCTTTTTTATCACTACTTTCATAATCCGCTATTTTGCCCCGATTTATTGAAAAATATTGACTTTTGTCGCACAGTGTATTTTACTGTCTAATTCCTTGCCTCATAGCGTCTCAGTGTAGTTTCAAAATGTTTTATTTATTTTTAAATTTCATCAAAAAATTCAATGAACCTAGGGTGTTATTTAAGTTTCCCGTATTTTATTCCTTATTTATTCGATGTCAAGTTTTGCCGTCAGAGGAAAAACACAACCCGAAAATTTATGCCAAATTTCCATTTGTGTTATTAATTTACTCTGGCGCCCGAATGTCAGAGACATAGTCGCATTGCACTTTAAGAAGACTTTATGGAGTCGGAATATTGATTTGGCCAAAAACTAGAAAAACATTTATTTATCCAGTAAAATCCTATTTCCCATACAAACACACACACACACTCACACTAACTCAACGAGACAACACAAACAAATATTGGAATAATTTACCCAACATACCAAATTGACTTGAGAATAATATTTTAATAAGCTTTCAAACATAAGCCTTAAGCTTGAGAAAATATTGAGAATGTATTGAGAAATGCTTGTTTAACAATTGTAGAATAATCGAAAGGGAACCCTTATTCATAAGCTTATTCTTGTAATTGCAGAATAAGCTTACGAAAGTAATATTATATCAAGCTTATTTTTTCAATGGTATAAAATATTTATTTTTTAATTTTTTTTAATTATTTTACACATTTCATTCATTAATCGCCATCCCAGCTGTCGCTGCCTCCTGTTGCATTGATACCTAGATGCTTTCTTTCCCCTTATTTGAGCTTCCGCATCTCCTCCACTAATTATTCACATCTCTTGAATTCTTGCAACTTTTTGACGCCTCTATTCTGAAATGAGATTGAAAAAATATACACTACAGATTCCCAGATTTATTATTCATCATTACCTTAGAGTTTCGTCCAGAAATGGGTCTTAAATTCGCGTGATTTTGATTTTAACCAAAGAAAATATTTTTTTTGTCGACAATTTTCACAAAAAAAAATCAAAACAAATTTGTCAACAAAGGACAGATTTGAGAAAAGTTTGTGCAAAAAAGTTTTTCTCTAGCAATGTTGAGGAATTCCTACGATAAACTATTTTCATAATATTATTCTCAAGCTGTATTGTATTTTTGGTATGTTGGGTATGTTCTCTTCATGTTTTTTTTTATTTTTTCGTTGCTTTTGTTGTATGCACATTCTCTCATTCCTCTCTGTTTGTTTGTTTTTTGTATTTTTGCAGGAATCAAAGCCAGTTGGGAGGAATGGTGGACATATGATGGTATATCCGGTAAGTGAACTATGGCCAAATGAAATGAACTCGATTCACACGAACACTCATACAGAGACAGAGAGACACACACAAATTCAAATGCTTTGTTTGCAAACAAAACTGGTGCATAGTAGCAGGCAAAAGAAGAGAACGGCGAATAACAAAAAAAAAAAAAAAACTATTATTTTTAGTTTGCTGTCTGGTAAAAACATTCGTGCAATTATTAACAAATGAAATTCAATGGCATTGTGATATGCCATCGTAATTCTAGTCAGGGTATTTTTTTTGTAATTTATTTCTTTTTGTTAAATATTTTTAGCAATTAAATCATTTACAGGCGTATACATTTATTCGTGAATTTGACATCAGGGACGAATCATGGCTAATAAAATGAAATTAAAACTAGAATATGCAGATACAGCCCCAGAGGATTTTCATAATAGATGAATTATATTTTTTATCACGTTTTTTTGCTTTTCGAGGCACAATTTGAATTTAATTTTGTGAACTCGGAAAAAAGTCAGAAAGGGAAATGAAAGAGAATTGTTTTAATTAACTTAAATAGAATTGTTTTATGGGAGGAATAACAGTTTTGTGTAAATGTTATTAATACATCTTTATTATGTTTGTAATTGGGTTTTGATTTTTTTGTGAGCAGTTGATTGACTAATTGACTTGTTAATTCATTAACGCCTCCATGCATCATACAAGACTAGAAATTCCACAAATTGTGGCATAGAAAGCAGTCATAAGAAAGGATTTATAGATATTCACACTTTGAGACTTGTAATAAAAGTTTTTCATGATGGATCAGTGTTTGGTATCTCTGTTGAGATCCACAAACTTACAGGAGGAGATTAATTTTAATTATTTATTATACCCTCCACCATACTATGGAGGATCGAAATATTCATGTCAGATCATACAAAGTATATATTCCCAATCAGCGTAAAATTCTAAGTCGATTTAGCGATGTCCGTCCGTCTGTCCATCTATCTGTCTGTTGTAATCACGCTATCTTTCGAACGAATTGAGATAGAAGGCTAAAAAATGTTTATTTTGTAAATGGGTCATGTAGGTCCACGTCTTCATATAACGGTACCTCCCAATATTCGAAATTTTGAAGATTTTAGCGACATTTTTCACCGGATTTGTTTCAAATTTGGCAATTGAAGTTCGTAATGGATAGTACAGCCTATGACAGAAAATTGTCTATGCAGGTCTAGGTCTTCGTATAGGCCCCATATATCAGTACCTCCCAATATTCGGTATTTTGTCGATTTTAGGTAAAATACCCACCGAAATTGTTTGAGATGTCATATTTGAAGTTCGTAATGGATGCTATAGCCTATGACAGAAAATTGTCTATGCTGGTCCAGGACTTCGTACAGCTAAGATATAACGGTACTTCCGTATATTCGAAATTTTGATGATTTTAGCTGCATTATACACCGTTTCGAATTTGAATATGGTAATGGCTTATGACAAACAATGCCTATGTAGGTCCACGTCGTATAGACCCCATTATAACGGCTACATATGGTATTTTTAAAATTTTAACAGAATTTTTTAAGGATTTTATTTTTTGAAAATTTCCAAATTAGTTCCAAGTGGTGGAGGGTATTTGGAGTTCAGCCAGGCCGAACTTACTACTTTTTAAGTTTTTTTTTTTTTTTAATTTTGGTAGCAATGAAATTTATTGATCAAAGCTTATTTCTCCAGGTTTAAAACTCAAGGAAATAAAGTAAACTATGCTTACTTCTTAAAAGATTTTGACCTCTACAAATGGTTCCAAAAAAAAAAAAAAAACAAAAAACAGTTAGGAAAATTCAAAAGTCGGACGGGGCTGATTATATGATATCCTACACCACTATGCATATTTAGTATAGCTCCCATAACAATTTTTTAATTAGACCATACCACCTATCAACATTTGGCTTTAGAGCAGTTACAGTTTGGTTTCAGAGGGAACTAATATATGGGAGGCATATCCAGTTCTGAATCGACTTTCACTAAATTTGACATGGTCATTAAAATCTTTTCTACCAAATAACATTGCTATAGAGTGCATGATATTACTCAAGAAGGATTATATTAACACAAGTTAAAAAGCAGCAAGTTCGACCGGGCCGAACTTTGAATACCCTCCACCATTTGGAACGAATTAGAAAATTTTCAAAAAAATAAAATCCATTAAAAATTCTTTTAAAATCTTTAAAATATCTAATATAGGAAGGTGCCAATATATGGGGGGATATACAATATTGTGGACCTATAAAGACAAATCTATGTCTGAGTGTAAAGTACTCACAAGGAACTCCTTGTGCGGATTTTCAAAATACCGAATATAGCGACCTACATAGACAATTCCGTTTCAGGGGGTAAAGTGCTCACAAAGAACTCCGTGTGTGGATTTTCAGATAATACGATTGGAAAATGTGGCTAAAATCATCAAAATACCGAATATCGCGGGGTACCGTTAAATGGGAGATATACTTTATCGTTAATCTATATAGAGAATTATCTGTCGGGGGGTAAAGTGCTTACAAAGAACTCCTTGTGTACAAAGAACCCCTTGTGACCATTCCGTTGAAAATTTGGCTAAAAACATCAAAATGCCGAATATCGGGGGTACCGTTATATAGGGGCTATACGATATCGTGGACCTATATAGATAATTCTCTGTCGAGGTATAAAGTAACCACAAGGAACTCCTTTTGTGGATTTTCAGACAACGCCAATGAAAAATGTGGGTTAAATCATCAAAATACCGAATATCGGGGGTGCCGTTATATGGGGGATATAAGATATCGTGGACCTGTATAGACAATTCTCTCTCAGGGGGTAAAGTACTCACAAGGAACGACTTGTGTGGATTTTAAGATAATTCCATTGAAAAGTGTGGCTAACATCATCAAAATACCGAATATCGGGGGGTACAGTTATGCACCTATATAGACAATTCTTTTTGAGGGGGTAAAATGCCCACAAGGGACTCCCTTTGTGGAATTTCAGACAATTCCATTGAAAAATGTGGCTAAAATCATAAAAGACCGAATACCATGGGAGTACCGTTGTATGGAGGCTATACGATATTGTGGACCTATATATTTAATTCTGTGCCGAGGTATAAAGTACCCACAAGGAACTACTTGTGTAGATTTTCAGACAATTCCATTGAAAAATGTGGCTAACATCATCAAAATACCTAATATCGGGGGTACCGTTATATGGGGGCTATACGATATCGTGGATCGATTTAGCCCATCTTCGAACTTGACCTGCCTGCAGACAAAAGACAGATCTGTGCAAAATTTTTGCTTCCTATCTTAATTCGTTTAGACTGTAGCGTGATTACAACAGACGGACGGACGGAGAGACGGACAGACGGAAGGACAGGGCTAAATCGTCTTAGAATTTTACGCTGATCAAGAATATATATACTTTGTTGGGTCTAAAATGATTATTTCGATGAGTTACAAACGGAATGACGAACTTAATATACCCTCCATACTATGTATCGTGGAGGATATAAAAATAAAATCTACGTCCCGAAATTCAGTTCATTTAGGCTGATATTAGCTATTATTTCCACAATAAACCTTAAGTCGGATTAAGGATATATTCGGAAGCTGTATCCAAATCTTAGACGTTACCGATAAAATTTGGCAAAGGTATTTCTGAGCTATGCACATTAGGAATGTAAGGGACTTAGAAACCAAATCGGATGAAACATATATATGGGAGTTATAGCTCAATTTGATATACTGATAAAATTTGGCAGTGGTATTTCTGGGCTGTATCTGGTACCAAATATCATTTCTGTCGAATGTATATTACAAATCTGATGAACCATATATATGGGAGCTATAAATATATCTGAACCGATTTTCTTCAGATGTACCAGTAATTCAGGTCAATTACTCTGACAATGACCATTTGGTGCACAATTAACCCGAAATCGGTTGGATATATATATATATATATATATATATATATATATATATATATATATATATATATATATATATATATATATATATATATATATATATATATATATATATATATATATATATATATATATATATATATATATATATATATATATATATATATATATATATATATATATATATATATATATATATATATATATATATATGGGACCAATATCCAAATCTGACACGATTTTGACAAAATTTTATACACTTATTTTAGACCTGTATCTGACATCTGGTACCATCGATCATTGTTGTGGAATGCATATTACGCTTGTGAGGGACTTTAGAACCCAAATCAGAAAATCCCAAATTTCAAGTACCTATTGGTAAGATGTATTCAGTCCTAATTGCAAAAATTCAGTCCATTTTGGTTGATATTAGCCATTAAAGTGATTCTACGAAGATCCTCAAAGGAACTATGGGTCTATCTTGCTTCCTACTCCATGTTACAAACAAATGCACAAATAAATAATACCCTTATCACTATGTGGTGTAGGGAATGAAAAAAGCGAAGTTCCACAATTTGGAAGTTCCACAAGTCTGAGGGAATTTGAAAAATTTCAAAAAATACCATCGAAAAATTCTGCTTAAATTAAAACTGTTATATGAGAGCAATACGAAACCATGGATCCACCTAAGTAATTCTCCGTCATATGCCGTAATACCGATTCCGAACTTCAAATACGAAAATTGAAACTATGCTGATGAATAATGTCGCTAATATCATCAAAATACCGAAAAAGGGAGTTTCCGTTATATATGGGTTATAAGAAGACGTGGACGTGCATAGAGAACATCCTGTCATCGGTTGAAGTGTTCATTACGAACTTCAGATAAGAAAATTGAAACCATTCTGGTGAATAACATCTCCAAAGTCATCAAAATACCGAATATGAGAAGCTATCGTTCTATTATTAATACACGAAGACGTGAACTGTAGTACCCATTACGAACTTCAAATACGAAATTTGAAACACTTCCGATTTAGAATGTCTCTATTACCATAAAAATAAC